TAACCTATCGTGCATTGTCACCTGCCATTCGTAAAAGGAGCCGCGATGGTAAGCGTAAAGCCAACAGTCAGACTGTAGCATCCATGTTGCAGCATGGTACCCATAATCTTTCTCTTGCAAATACACCTAATTCTAATGCTGCATCTCAACACCAGCATATTCAACAACAGCAGCATCAACAACAACAAAATGCTGCTCAGTTGTCATCATTACAGCAACAGTTCCTGCAGCAACCTATGCTACAGACTCTAACCGTCCTACCCCAACAGCCACGCCCCCTCTTACAACAACCAGTGATGAATTACAATAGTATTGGGTCAATGGGTGGCCATCAGATATTGACAACCGGCATCACAAGTCCCCTGGGCATTGTTCAGCCTTTGAGCATGTTAGGAGTAACTCCTACTGGAACTGTCATACAAAACATCCCTGTTCAGCAAGTAGTCCCTGGGCCTCATTTCCAATCCTTGACTGTTCTGCAAGGTCCTCATACTGTTAACTCGCTTCCTCAGGAACAGCCTGTGGTAGTCAATGACACCTCTTCTATGGGTGTCCATCCTACTCAGATGCACAGTGCCTTCGCTGCTGGTTCAATTGTTCCTAATATGGTTGCTACCAACCCTATGATAAATACTCATGTGGCAGGAACTGAAGTTCTAGTGACTGCAACATCTCAGTCTCATGCAGTAACTGAAAATGCTAATCAGTCTTCAATTCCGACTCAGTTCTCTTCTATTTTCCAGCAATCAATTCCACCAGTGGCACAATCACTCTCCTCCACAACATGTTCGGGTAGTGTCAAAGTATGTCGGTCTGGTGGAATGAACACAACTTCTTTTCAAGTATCTGCTTCCAGTTCTTACCAACCCACTTCAGTTTGTGTGACTGTTGGCTCAGAAATGAAGGGAGAAAACTCAACATCTAAAACCAATCTTTTTTTCCCTGAGCAGAGCCAAAAAGCTCGAAGCATAGGAGTGCAAAGCAGTTGTACTGAACACAATGCTTCTGTGCAGACTGTAACTTCTACAGTACCGGTGAATAACTCTATTTTGGTCAATTCTCCTGATGACAGTCAGAACACTAAACTGAGTATGCAGGATAGTTGTTTAGAAGATGCCAAGTCAAAATTTGAAGGAGAGAATAGCAGTACCTTATTGTCATCTGGAGGAGAATCTTGCGAGTCTCCTTGGCCTGATCCTGTCAACTTGTCAGCAGCAGTCAGAGCTGTTGTTCAGGAGCAAGTAGATAGCAATGAAGAGATAATTTCACATCCCATAAGCAGCACAAGCCAGATAATGAATTTTTTAGATTGTAGCTCGATTCACAGAGAAGCATCGGAGCAAACCCCCAGCTCCTCGGTCGAGGATATCATCGAAGAAAGCAATGATGGTAACTCAATACTTGATCTGCGCACTATGTCTGGTGAAGTGAATACTGATCCAGATATTACAGGGGAGAATATTTGTGAAACTCAGGAAAAGACTGTCCAGGATATTCTCCAACTGAACAAATGGACTGCTGACCACCTGCAATCCGAGAGCCAGCGCGACTCGAGCGTGGCCGAGAGCACTTCGACTGCATCCTCTGAGAGCTCTGAGCCCTCTAGTACAGACTGTAATGTGACGAGTGACTCAGGTGTTGAATCGAGCCAAGAACCTATGAATTTGGCATGTATCAGAGAAGACGATAATGTGAGTGTAGAGTTGAGGGATTCAATATCAGAGGTAAACTCTGTGGGGGTTTCAGATCCTTTCGATAATGCACTTGTAGCGAAAGCAGATGAAAAGCTTGCCAGAAGGCGAGGATTGAAGAGGCTAAAGAGAGAAGTTGAAATGCCTTTTGAAGAGCTCCAGGGTGAAGATTCAGATGGTAAAGTTTTTTCTTTCTCCTAAAACATAGTGCAAATTATTAATATTTCAGGAACTAATTTGTTATCAGTACACTATGCATCACAAAAGCCTTTAGTTGGTGTTTTGAAAACATGCCAAATAGGATTTGAGCACCTGTAGTTCCCAATTCAAGATAGCGGCTTAGCACTAAGAACTCAACATGAAAATAATTTTAAAAAACTACTTATATATATAGTTTACTAGAGTGTGTAAGATAGTAAAATTAACATATATTTTAAATGAAGTAAATAAGCTAAAATAATCGAAAATGTACTTCTTCTTTTTGTTGGAAAACAACATAGAAAAATACGAGTACAAGGTTTTAAAAAAAATGTAGTAAAAGGCATTTAAAACTGCTGGAATAAAAAGCAGAAAAAAAGAAAATGAAATGTGATGGTGTGGAGAAATAATGTTTGAAAGATTATGAATCCGATTCCTTCACTCCCCTTCCTAAATCAGTATACAATCAGCCCAATCAGTTTAATATTATTTGAATGATTTTTTTCTCATGTTAATTCCGACAATTTTACTCTTTTTCTCTATTTTATGTGTTAATATCAATAAAACTGATTAACACATCAGACATATGTCAGCTTGTGAAAAATTTCTAGCTTCCTATGAATATCATCTTACTAGAAATGTTTAGAAAAATTCATTAAATAAAAGTAAAATGGGAAAAATTTGCAACTTGATGTCGTTGGAAAAAAAATTATTCTTGACAGATTTACTAATTAGGTGGTGTGAATTTGCAATCTAAGATTAGCAATAAAACATAAATATGTATGGCCATCCAATTTCTTATTTTTCTGTAAATAACTTTTGTTTCTTTACCATGCTTTAGATATTTCATGATGGCTGAAATCTTAAGAATGGGGGGGAGTATCTGAACTCTTTGAAAACAATTGGCAATCCTTTTGGTCCATAAAAATTGAAAGTGAAGAACCTGTGGGAAAAAACCTGGTACTCAAAATATCCGTGCTTGAATAAACAACTAAAGGCAATAGTTGCAATCCAGACAACAATAATTACGTTATGTTAACGTATTGATTGATTGATTGAATATTAACGTCGCACTGTTCAGCTACACGAGGGCTTTTGGCGACGGACCACGTAATTTTGAACCATGGTCAAGTGACGTGGACGGCACCTGAGCTGGCACCCCCTCTCCTAACTACCACACCAACGGGAGGACGTTTCAGCTCTCGACAGATTTAACGTGCATCGCTGCCCTACACGGAGGGTCTTTAGTGGTACTGGGCTCGAACCTGTGACAAAGCAAGCCATAGTCCGATACCTATACCACTCGGCTACCGCGGCCACGTTATGTTAACGTAACATTGTGCAGAATTAACATAGACTAAGTTAAGTAATGGTTAAATTTGTAAAAAAAAAAATCAAATTATAATTGTCATAAATTAACAGGTTTACTGCCATTAAAAATTGATAAAAATTAACTGTAATATAGTTGATAACGATGATAACCGCACTACCAAATGGTAAAAAACAAAGTGACCATAATGTGATGTTATCTCCAACTTGGCGAGTATTAATAACAAAACTTGGTATGCATTGTTCTGATACATACTGATATCAAATTAAATACCATTTTTTTTCATTTTAATATTTTTTTCTTAAATTAATTACTTCAAAATGATTTAAAACAGCAATTTTCACCCTCTTATGCATAATACAACCATGCTAGAGTTTGTATGAATTTGATTGAATATTTTATATGGATCATTTTTTTTTCCTGATCCCTTTCTTATCTTTGTAATTTAATATAAGAATGTTCATTCAAAAGTTTTAATAGTTTGAAATTTGATGTTAATTCCTTTACTTTTTTTAAATATTGATCAGCTATGAATAATTTTTTCATAAAATATTTATTTCAAAATTTAGGAGGCGTGAAGAATATTAAATGTTAAAAAAGAATTCCGTCTTAAATGTACAAAATGTGCATTGTTTTTCTGCAGTTACATTTATAGAATTTATGGTATGATATATATATTTTTTCTAAGACAAATTGTCCAGTTCTTATTAATATATTTGATTAGTGTTGTTGTTTTTTATTCTTATTTATTCGATTCTCTTTTTCCATACCTTATTTGAAATAATTTTTTATCTTATAGTATATGATGAGAGTACTGGAGAATATTTTAAGTAATTTATAAATTAATTTGTTAAAGATAATTTTATAGGGATGAAAAACAGGACAAACTTTTTTGAATAAAGTTTTTCTGATTTTTAATGCCTTTGGTTCAGTACCAATCAAAGTGCTTGTTGAAATTTTGCTAAATATCTTTTATAGTTATTAACAACTATCTTTCAAAGTGATTATGATTAGCACAATTATTTACATGATAAAAATATTTTTTTTATAACTGTATCTGAATTTCTTTTAAATTGTACGAAGGTAAAATGTTTGTTTAGATTTTTTTAAGAAAAGAACTAATTGCCTCTTGCAATAGTAGAAAATATTTCCCATAGTTCACAAATTGTTGTTACTGCTTGCTGTAGGAAAACGAATTGAAAGAAATTTTTTATCTCAATTATGTCTTGAAAAAGGTTTCTTTCAAAGCTTGAAATATGCGAGTAAAAGTTTTTTTTCTGAATCCTTTGTATATGTGATACGTAAGTGCTTTATCTTATTTATATTCTTATTTTCATCAAGAATCCTGTATTTTATTTTAGCGTAGTATGAAAGTTTTTCTTTCGCCATGTGTTTTTTTTTAATTTTAAAAACTTTTTATTTCATTCTTTAAATCACATTATAGCTATTTAGTTTAAATTTGAATCTGTGATTGTTTGAAAAGAATTATTGCTTCATGATGAATAAATTAATAATAAGCAAGTAATATAAAAAAATAAGTCAATTCCTACCTAGGTCAACAATTTTTTTTTTATTTTAGTTTTTATTAAATAGTTATAATTAATACAAATATGAAAACATATGGCAGACTCACAATATTAAATGACAAAATAGAAAGCGATTTTCCTTTCTATATATGGTGTTCCGACTATTTTTGTTTGTTACTATTTATTCAGTAATTAAATTTAATTATTCTAATAAAATTATATAGTAAAAAAGAAATCACATTCTCAATGTTAGGCCATCCCAGGTGGGATTTGAACCCACGACCTTTGGATTAAAAGTTTAACACACTATCCATTGTGCTACAGGGACACAATGAATGATTTTCTTTTTTATATATGGTGTTGGACTATTATTTTTGTTTTTTACTATTTATTCATTTTTAATTTAATTAATGAATTAATATTTGAAAAAACTTTTTTAACATCTTTGTGTCATCTACTACAAGTTTTAAAAAAAAATGTATTTAAACTTGAATGGATGAATAGAAAATATTTTATTATTAATTGAAATTTTGAGCATATATATATATATATATATATATGTCCAACTATTAGTTCATTCTCTCCATATATATATGGAGGGAATGAACTAATAGTTGGAATTGAAAAACACGACCTCAGTAGCTAAATGGTCATGGTTGCAAGCTTGTGGCCTGCAATATAAGTGTCAAGCTGCTCATTTGAATCCCAATTCCACTAAATACATGTTTGGCAATGCTGGCTCAAAACTCTTACATTTTCATTGGAAAATAAAATGAGATACCATATAAGTGTTCGAATCTTATTTATTTTACAATAATTCAAAATTACTAAGTCAAATTGCCAATAATCTTTACATCACTTCAAGATGTCAATAAATAAGTTGTGATTTATTAACAACATTGTCATGTTGCATGCACACTTTATTTCTTTGAAAATAAAACTTAAAAGCTGAGCTAAAAATGATTTCTGATGGTATCTGTAATATTAAACTCACCACAAAGGTATATGTAATGTTAAGCTTACTAAAGCCCTTGCAAATAAGTTTTATCTGAGAATTGTAATTTTTATTCTGATTTGGCACTGATTGTATTAAATTATAAAATATTATTTAATATAAGTCTTTTATTTATATATTTAATTACAGTTTGCATTCATTTTAAGTATTTCGAACTTACTCAAGTATACAATGGAAAGTAAAATTTAAGCATATTAACTAGAGACTTCTAAAAGATGATACAATTGTTTTTGAATCTATATTTTTATACTGTAATAACTGTAGGTTATGGTGCAACTAAAATCTATTTTTAATGGGGGAAAGAATCTAATCTTATTATCAAAGAAATACATTTTTTTATTATTATGGCTATCCTTTGTTAAAAAATTTTTTTAAATCATGGTTACTGCTATCTTAGTATTAGTTTTCAGTTGAAAGGATTTTATAATTATTATTTTAAAAGATTTTTCTATTGAAAATAATATAACAAAAGAGTTAAGTAATCAGGAAAGATTATTTAAAATACTTGCACAGAAAAATCTATGCTTTGTATAATGTTTTGGAATGTAATTAAATTTTTTTCAAATGTATGTCTCCCTCCTCCTAGATGGCACTCTCTCACCGCCTTTGCCTCCCCAGCCACGAACTTTTAATGATGGTGATCTTGTTTGGGGACAAATTCGTGGTTTTCCATCTTGGCCAGGAAAGTTGGTACGCAAAGATGAAGTAAAAGGCACTCAAAAATCAGAGGATGGAAAGGTGATAGATTATTTCTTAGAATGTATTTTCATTTATTGAATAGACAAAATGTTGATACAGTCATAAACACACATACATTTTAATTTTAATAAATTATTCAAATAATTTTCGGTTATATAATAAAAGTTCCCTGTCTGTGCAAAAAAATTAAAACTTTTTTGTGAAACTACTTTTAGTTTAAAAATCAGAATTTAAGAGAAATTCTTTGAAAAAAAATATCTGCATTTATATATTTAAAACTTAATCCCTTCGCAATGGGTGATGCAAATATACATTTTAGAAAAACTCTCTGGTGGAACATTTTTTAGTCACCATTAGTTGCACCCTATGTCCATTATATTGAAACTGAACATAGTTAGAGTAACCTAACCTTCAGTCTGTTTATATTCTGCCTGGATTTGGTATTTTGCTCACCAGCTGTGGTGGTTGAGGGGATAATCGAAATGTAAAGAAATAGCTCGTAAAATTTCCACAATGTAAAATATTTGCGTTTGTAATAACTCTCCCAATGCTTTTTTATTTTATTTTTTCCTTAACAGTGTGGAGTGTTAGTTTTAGCGTCAGTTCTGTTACAGTTTTTGTTGCTTTCAAAAAAAATTTGTGTACTTTTCTATTTCAAAAACCAGATTATTATTTGACTGTTTTGAAAGCATTTTCCTAACCTTAATATGAACAAAAAGGGTGAATAGTCACAAACCGTGTGTAAAAAAAAAAAAAATTTATGCTTGCAAATCATACAATGTAGGACTTAGCGTTTCTTCATGCTTCGAGATTTTCCATACTCAGTCTTCATTTTAATTTTGCTATTTCTTTTTGTAAATTATCTTTGTCATAATTTTTTTTATTAATTTGGAAGCTTATTAATATGTTTTGTCAAAGAAAATTTTAGAAAAAATGGAATAGCATTTACAAAATTTATTTCCCAATGTAAGTGATTTTTTTATATATATAATTTCATATAAATTAAAAGAAAAACTTTATTACATTCTAGTTTTAATGTAACAGACAACTTATGTAGTAATCTAAAGGGGTACCAAAAATTACGACGTTAGGATTGAAATTTTATTATGTATGCTTTTTTTTCTTAAGTTGGACTTAGCGATGAAAACGTCCCATATCCTGAAGAGGTTAAAGGAGAGAGAGGGGGGGGAAAGAAAATAGGGAAAGGGGACAAAAACAGAAAAGTTTAAATTAAAATAATCCTACAGTAGATTCAATCAATAATAACACCATTTCTAGTTGCCTTATTGGATATGGAATTTCTTTCCCTCCGTATATAGATGTAAAATTTCAGCATGTGGGGAAGATCATTTAGAAGAATACATTAGAATCTCGTTAGTTAAGACTTTAGAGTACATTGAGGATAAAACTGAAGAACTAATGGTCTAAAGAACAAAAATCTTGCTATACATATATTTTTTATTAATGACAATTAAAAAGCTATGAAAATTAACTTTCAATGGGAAATAGTATCAAGTGGTGGATAAAATATTTTTTTCAGCATTAAATTCATTTTCAATATGTAATTTTGTTCATAAAAAGATTACTGTCAATTTTAGGGTCAATTTTAACATGGAGTGAAAAATAAGCTTTTTTGATGCATTTTACTTTTTTCATAAATTTAACCCCTGTGTAAGGCTTTGGAAAGTGTACTTTCCACCAACATTAATTTTTAATTGTCAAAGGGGAAGCTATTTTCTTACCTATGAGTTGTGCTATATGATTGCGGCTAGCACAACAACTGATTTCTGGATTTTCAAGTAGTAAATACAAAGTGTGCCCTGTAAATCTCCTGAGCATCTAGAGAATAGTTACAGATCATGTACAATTGACTAAAGTGGGTGACCATATAACAAAACTTTACAAAAAACATACTGATGTTGCTGTTTGTGCTCTACTAAAGTACCTGAAAAGTGTACTAAATAGATTTGTTCAGATTGTAATGTCTATGTGTTGATTCCTGTTTTCTGAAATTTCATGGAAAGTGATATGTATAACATCTTAAAATGATTTAATATTAAATGTATCTAATTCATAATTTCTTTTGTAAAATTTAAAATTTCTAATTACATTTTACAAATATACTATATGAGATAAAAAAATGCAAAACATAAGCTGTCCTGCCTTTGAATAGCTTCCAGGGGATGGTAGGAATAAACTAATTGAATTTCTTTTTATAAATTAACCCCAACCCCCCAAAATATTATTGTATAACATTACTAGAAAAAATCGCCCTGTAAAGGGCTTTTATGGTGCTTTATAGAACATCTTTGTCAGAATTGTCATAAAAGTTTCATTCTGGAGCTTAGGGTTTGCATTCCATGCTATATTTTCAATTCTGGGATTGGTCCAGGGATTAGGATTGGACTATTTATAAAAAATACTTACACATTTGTGTAGTTGAAATTACATAATATAAATGAAAAAAAATGGGTTTATTATTGTTATTTATTGAAATAAGTCAAAACAAAATTCAATTTGTCATAAAAAAATTTAAAAAAAAACACACAGGTCATTTAGCGTTTTATCGGTCACACACACAAACATTTTCTTATTTTTGTTACAAATTGTTGTGCCAAAAAATGCTCTTTCAGACTCTACACTAGTACACTTTATTGTCATTAAAATAGGAGTGTGTTCTCTTTCCAAACAGTTACCACTTTCCCTCCATTTTCAAAGAGACATTTCTTTTTGAATTTTCTATGACAGTGTCTCAAATCTAATAGGCTGCATTGATGCCTATCCCTCTTTGATAACTTTATCTAGTTTTTCTTCTACACTTAATGGGTTTTTGTGTACGAATCAGAACTTGAGTCAATTTCAAGTGTTACCTCATTTGAAAAAGAAGATCCAGTAGTATGAGCTTTTAGTAATGCAGTGGGATTTGAAGCATCAAGTCTTTCAAGTAGATCCACTATTAATTCATACATTTAACTGAAGAAGGAACTGTTGACAAAATCTATTCCTGAAATTTTGCTTATACCATTGTGCAAGTATTGCAATAAACCACTTAGATTTGTGTGACATTCTCCCGTATGAGATATGAGAGCTGCATCTAATTTATTTATAGCACTTATAATTGTGCACAAAAAAAAAAATTCTGCATACATACTTCATTAAAAAATTTCAAAATATATTTTAGATGAAAATTAAATCTTGGGATTATAGCTAATTTAATTTCAGGATTTGAAGAAATACCAGGATTTCAGGATCCCTGGCTGCAAAACCCTTCTGGAGATTTCTTCTTTTAAATATGACCAGTGTTTTGGTTAACTTTCTGAAGTTGATTGCAAAATGAAAGCCAGAATTAAATCAAATTGTCTTATAACAGAGCAAAAGATTGCAAAAAAGTTAAACCTATCACATGCAACTATTGAAAATCGCATAAGATGTCTTGGACTTGTTAACCCTTTTGCGATGAGAGTGTCATATGCTCCAGTATCAAACCCCCTTCTTGGTCGGTAGGCCATTCAATGCATTTTTTTGTGGGGATGGTCAGTCCTGGTAAATCAAGTACAGAATGCAATTCACTGGTGATATTTGGGGTGGATGCGTATGTGTGTGTGTGTGACACC